TAGTCAAATGTTTTATCTTGATTTTTAAATGGCAGGTATTATTTCTATTTTAAAAATTAATGATAATTATTATTATTATTACGTATATTTAAAAGAGACCATTAACGTTGTTACTACGCACACATACAAAATTAGTTTAAATAAAATATGAAAGTAACATTTTTGGTCAGAATAAAAATACGACGAAAGGGGGGCTTAAAAAGATTGGAGATTTAGTTAAAAAATAAAAATAAATTAACTTCTCTGTTAAAAAAAATAGTTCTTTCTATGTTAATCTCAAAGACAATTTTCAATTTCCTTTGACGTATTTTTTAGTTACGACACTGGTTTGTTATAAATAATATTTATAAATGTAATTAATTCTAATGCTAAATAATATTTCTATTACCACTAAGTGGTGATTTGCATTTTTTTTTTTTAAATATTATAATATATCGAAAAATATTGTTGTGTAAGTTTATCAAACTATAAGAGTTAATGTTACGTTGGATGGATTGAAAAGTTTAGAAGTTTATTCTTTTCTCAAAGTTTTGAGATTACGCCGACAAATAAAAGTGACTGACCGTACAAAAAATATTATTTTTCTACTCGAAACTTGTTCTTTCTATGATTAATTTATAAACTAAAAAAATTTAATGGTATATTATTCCAGGTCACTTAATTAAGAAATCATTTTTTTTTGTTTTTTTAGTTCATAAGGAAGCGTCAAATCATTTAGGAAGTTCATTAACATACTTCGCATGAGATATTTTCGATGAAAAGGATTGGAGAATAAGTCAAAAACCATTTTGAAAAGCGTTTCTCAGAGGAAGCAGAGGGACGATTAATAAATCAACATTTAGGAGCATAACCAGCGAGACGGTACAAATCGAAAATTGGATTCGGTCGAGGTTTAAAACGAAAGCACTTTAGTACTCGGCTGTCGTATCAATTTATACGTTGTCGAAATCGTACCAATTTCTGGACTTGCTGAGTCAATTTTCTGCATGATATCAAACGCGAAATATATAAAATATTGACATTTTCATCGTCTTGATGCGACGTATTTCGAACGTATTGAAGGTCTTTAGATTTTCCATTTCCGCGTCTCGCGTTTCTAAGGAGTACGAATGAACGAATGAACGAATGAACGAGTGAACGAACGAACGAACGAACGAACAAACGAGAACATGAAAGAAAGAGAAAGAGAAAGATGACGTAGAATCGAGTCTCGCTTCATTTCGCAGTTCGACAGACCGCGGAATTTCTTAGGCTGCAATTTCTCGAACGCGCGGTAGTATTATAGCTTCCTTGCTACCACTCTTATTTCTTTTTATCTTTTCTCTTATACTTTTTTTTTTCCTTTTCTTTTCTTTTTTTTTTTTAAACGTTATTTCCATCCCTTTTTCTCTCTTCTCTGGTCGCCCCTCGTCAATGGTTTTTATCGAAAAGTAATAATTTCCTCGGACGATCTCTCTCGTCGTAGCTTCTTTTCTACGTGGGGACGACGCTGTCACAGCCATTCTTCCTAACAAATCGAATACGATTACCGCGTTTGATCGATCGATCATTCGTTTCGGTTCGAGTCGTCCTTAAAACTGAAAAAACAAAAAAAAAAGAAAACAACTTTTATCAATTTGACATTTTCATTTTCATTTTGATTGGTTGATCAACGAAATTAGTTAGATATGCGTTCTCGTCTCTCGTTTGTTGTGTTCAACAAACTTGACGAGTAATTATCTTATAATCAAAATTTCATACTTATTAATAATGTCATTTTTTTTTTTTTATAATGACTTTAATACAATGTGAAAGAAAATTTAATAAAATAATTAATACGCAATATATATTATTATTGTTACTTTTTATTTTGTAGTATGAAAATAAATAGAGAAAATGAATGATAACAAAAAGGAAGAAAATTTCATTTAACGCATACAAAAATGCACACACACACACACAACACAGAAATCTACGTAAACCCGTTTAATTTTCCAACGTGTGCGTTCCAGCTTGAAACGTACCGTACCGTACCGTACTGTACCGTAGTGTACCGCATAGTACCACTTTGATTCATTAAATTTTCTCGCTGTGACGTCCGGCACGCGCACCGTAAATAAATCGACCCGTTATCGAGCTTTAAATTTAAGAGAACAAGATAGAAACGATTTTTCCTCGATTTATTTCAATAAATCTCGACACCGTGGCAACCCCCTTTTTCCGAACGAAATATCATTTTCAATTCAAAATCCTGATAACAATGATGAGGAAACTACGTTCAACGAAATCTACGAACGTTTTCAAAATCTATGATATATAGAATATTTCAAATAAACTATACAGAAAGATTAAAGACAGTATAAAAAGAACAAACATTATGGATTGTAGTTGAAAAAGATCTTCAGTTCATCATTTCAATATTAATACCGATAATATTATTTAATTGATGATATTTAATTAATGATTTATAAGGCGGGAATATAAGATATTTCTTAAAATATCCTTTCGTCGTACGTTCGTTAAAATAGAAATGCAAAAAATGAAAAGTTATCAAATAAATATAAAAAGATAAGATAAAATGAGGACATTGGTGGATTTGAAAATTGTCTATAATATTATCTAACTAATGATATAAATATTTCATTGTTGATCGATGAAACATGAATAAAAAATATTACTTCAACTTTTTTTGTTCTTTGAATTCATCAAAATAGAAATGTAGAAATAAAAAAAAAAAAAGAGAAAGCAAGCAGATTGGACAAAAGTAGGACGTCATCGTTGTCGTCGTCGTCGTCGTCGTATATTTTTTGTTTGGGATTTTTACAATCGTTCGGTCGAAAGCAAAGATATTTTTTGTTCGTTTCTTTTTCTTTTTTCGAGAATTTTGAAAGACCATCGAGAAAGTGGAATAGAGCGAACGCGTTTTCCGCTAGTTGAGCAAAGCCAAAGGTATACAGAGAGTGTGTGTTGTAGCACACAAGCGCGTAGATGAAAACGTTGAAGCTCAAGTTCGATCAGGCATTATTCGCCGTCTCACCAATTCCTCTCACGGTTGCTAGAAAATGAGAAATTGAAAGGATGGGTCAATGATATGCGTTCCTGTCGTGTGGTTTCGACAGGAACTATTTCCCAGTTTTCCTCCCGTAGTTCCAACCCTCTTTCACCCCCCCCCCTACCTCACCTCCCTTCACGCGTACGTGTCGGCTCATCTGCATCCCAAGCCGATCGCGTCTCGCTTCCATTTATTTTTCGATATCCCACCAGCTTCAAAGCTTTACTTTTCCCCGGTAAGAACACGGATTTCTTTTCGGATAACTAAACGCTTTCTTGTGCCTCGAGAAACTTCACTTTAATGCCTTCCACAAATCGAAACTTTTAATAGGCTAAGTAATATCACTAACTTTTAAGACAAATTTGTGTTTCCCTTCTTCTTTTATCGTTTTAATATATCTTTTATTTGTAAATTGTGATTTTCTATTAGTACTTGTTATTCTATTCAATTGAGATTATTGGTTTTTCTTTTACTAAGCTTGATAAGGAATGTTTCATAAAAAATTATCGTTAAACATTTGGTTATCACATAAAAAAAAAGAACATTTGCATCGAATATTGTAGTAGTTGGTACAGATTTTTTCATCATACTTGTGTTTTTCCTTGTTTTTACAATTATTATTTATTTTTATCATGATTTTCAATATGTCCTTGTCATTTCCATTAAATCCTGTCAATTGTATTAGATTAATAAGAAAAGTTTGATAGGATTTATCTCAGAAGATAAACGTTGCTGTTAGTATTTGAATAATATTTAATTATCAAGAAAAGTTCGTGTAGATTGTTTTTCATTTTAAAACAGGAGACATTTAAATGAAAATAAAAAAAAGTACATTAGAGAGAGAGAGAGAGAGAGAGAGAGAGAGAGAGAGAGAGCAATAGTTATCAAGATTTTATCAGATATCTCGTTTTAATATATACGCGCACAACAATACAATTAGAATTATCGTTATAAAGCGTAATATAATACGAAAAAAAAAAACGGCAAGAATATTTTGGTCAATTGGACGTTTTATAGGACAAGGTTATAGTTCCTTTTTCTTATTTTCAATCGTTTTTCTTTTTTTCTTTTTTTCTTTTTTTCAGAGTCAGATTTAGAAAGAATCTTTCTCGAGGTTATTTCATTCATATACGAAAAATGGGTTCTTCAGGGGTTCTCATTAAAATGAATCAACCCGTATCTGAGTATTTGTATGAACGATATATATCCCGCACTCTTTTTAGGTTTTTTTTTTATTTTTGTTTGTTAAAAATTCATCGTTTCTGAAAAGAATATATTGAAAAAAACGTATCGGAAGTTAAACGCTGACCTTCGCGTTTCCTCCCCCTCGAACGTTGTCACCAATTTATCTTTTGTTTCCCATCAAATTCGTCTCCTCTTCTTTCTTTCATTCTGGCTGTCGTCTCCGTAGGACAAGGGACATATATATCCTTGACCGTTCCTATCATCCCTTTCCATCTCATTATTATTCTTTGCAGCCCACGCTCGAGGCGCCATTGCTAACTGTTTTTGCATCCGCAACGCAACTCGGTCGTTCTTGATCGAAAAATAAAACCCATCCTTTTATCGATCGTGAAACGAAGATTATCCGTAGCCGAGGGATTTTTTTTCTATCTCTTTCTTTTTCTGCCTATTTTTTTATTTTCCTTTTTTTTTTTTTTTTTTTTTTTTTAATTATTTTCTTAAAATTCAAAATTCATCTCTCGGTCCTTCTTTCGTCCTCGAAGGACAGTCAATTTGTTTTTTTCTTTACTTTTTTTTTTATTCCCTTTTGTTTGTTTTTTTTTTAAGTAAAAAAAAAGAAAAGACGCAGCATTATGCCGACCTATTTTTTCTATTCCCACGTATTTTTCCTGTTGTCTCTTCGCATCCTTCGAATATCTCAAGTTGTGTATAACGATGAAAATAGAACGAATCGGTATTGTATAAAGAGAGATGATGATGATGATGATGATGATGTGGGCGCGTTTACATCAGTTTCAGACAAAGGAATACAATTTCCAGGTTTCTCAGGAAAACGAGGAAGCCGAAGAGAAGTGGCCATCTTCCCAGTTGACTCCCGAGCTCAACGTTTCCGATGCATCCGCTTCTCTATTTCTCTCGAGTGCTTTCAAGTTCGTGACGCGTTTGCAGTTAAATGAATTTACCTACCCTCGAGTAGAATAAGGTAGGAAAGGACAAGTAAGGACAAGGTAGGGAAGGACGACTCGGTTATTGTCATTTATATATATTCTTCCATTTCGTATGGTTGCCATTACTCATAACTCAAGCGTAAACCAATTGTTTTTTACGTGTCCATAGTCCACAAATCTTAAAGAACAGAAAGTATTCAAAAGAGAAATTTATCTTTTCGTAGGATGTATAAACGTACACACGTACCACCCATTATCGTTGACTTGAAAGGGTTAAGAAAGTACAAGAGAAAGATGGAAGGAAGGAATGAAGGAAGGAAGTGTAAAATATTTTCTAAACCCTTCGCAACATTCTTGGTAAGCTTTGAGTTTAGCTGCGCTCAAGAAAATCCGGCTTCCTTATTTGTGAGTATTTGTAGTATAGGAAAACTATAGTAACCCTTACCGGGGTTTATTATGGGTATATTTTGTCCTTAGTTGTGTGTGCTAGGAATATTTAGGATATGGTATGGCAAAGGATCGTCGAAAGATGGGCTAGAAAAAGGTATCGAGTAACATATTATAGATTGTTTTAAAGAAACATATAGTGTATTATGAAAAGCCTTAAGAGAAACAGCATGTAATGTTATAGCAGAAGCTAAGCATCATGTCTTACAATTGTGTTGGCTTGTAATAATGACAATATATTGAAAATATTGAATATATTTTTGTTATCAGTTATTCAAATAGTATCATCTATTATAATTATTACTACCTTCTTAACATGTTCCGTGCCAAATCCTTTTTACCTGACTAGTCATTCAGGTCATTTAATTTTGTTTGAACAAAATCAACCATTACATATAATTATTAATTATTGTTAATATATCAATTAAACAAACTTATGTGCTTTGTTTTATACTGCATTTTATATATTACATTAATATTTTAATAAGACGCGTCAAGTTAACGAGTTCTATTAATAAAGGATTTCAAGAAATAGTATATAGAAATACTAGTAAAACTTGAACCCTAATTTTCTCAAAAACGGTTCTACCAAGGGAATTTTTGATAAAATCCCCGTATGTATGGTCTGTAGCTTCAACGAACCTATATAAATTTATAAAGTTTCTTAAATGTCTAAAAAAACAACAACTACGAGACTTTTCTTGTGAGATACGAAAAAGAAAGAAATTCGGGAAAAAGAACAAAATTCGGGAAAAAGAACAAATAATTCTCTCTCTCTCTCTCTCTCTCTCTCTCTCTTTCTCTTTCATTCGTGTTTTTCCTTATTCACCTATTTTCTCGTTAACCACAAAAAAGAGAGAGGAAGAGAGAAAGAGAGAGAGGAAGAAAGATAGATAGTTTGGAAAAACTCCTCACGGTTAGGAAGACTCCATTGGAAAAGTTTCAACTGAAAACAAACCATCCCCCCCCCACCCCTATCTCTTTCCTTCTTCGTTGCAACAGCGATAAGCTCTTCTTCTCCATCGTTGATGCGATACAGTTTCTTCTTGGTTGAAGAATCTAGAGAAAGCAAGTTGCACAATTTGATCGGTCGACTAAGTCGATCGTGAAGGGGATCAAATTTAAATGAGAGAGGTAGCAACGATGTTAGACGTATGCGAGCGATCTCTCATTTTCTTTCTCGTTGCTGGTGCTGGTGGTGCTGGTGCTGGTGGTGCTGGTGCTGGTGCTGGTGCTGTGTTTCTCAAACGAAAGAGAGAAAGACATAAGAGGTAGAGAAGAGAGCTTGGCAAGAACGTTAGCCATCTTGCTCGTTCGTGCCGTATCGTCCTTGCGGATCAGTGCTTTTCAAGAACGGTTGTCATTCTCTCTCTCTCTGTCTCTCTTTCTCTTTCTTTATCTTTCTCTCTTCGTTTTACTTCGCTTCATGGTTACACAGTTGGTGATATATCTACCTCAACAGTAGACACCTACCATCCCTTTCGTTGACTCGACCATTCCTCGAATCACCATTCCACTTGCTTCTTCTTCTTCTTCTTCTTTCCTGAAAACGTATTTTGCTCGAGTTGCCTTCTATCGGCTAGTACTCGTAGCAAGTCGCTCGTGAATTTACTCCTTAGCGAGGGTTGAAAAAGAAATATGTAGAAGAATTTATTGTATTTATGGTATACGGGGTGAAAACTTGTAGCCAATTTACTAGAACAATTTATACTAATTAGAAATTCATTTCAAAAAAATGTATCTTTTCGTATTTTTTTCTGTCGCTTTTCTAACTTTAAAATTCAAAAGAATAAATTTTTACCAAATTTTTATTTTTAATCAATAACGTAATCAACCCTTGTTAATCAACAAAACCTTTGTCATTTAGTAATGCAAATTTTTAATATCGGATCGATAAAAATTAATCGGTTTTCAATTAAATTTATAATATATAAAAATTCATATATACATACGTATTTTACGACATTACTTTACGGTTCCCCTAATATTTCTCAATAAAAATTATTAGATAGTATTGTTAGTAAAAAAAATATATAACATGAAATTGGATAATAGGAAAGTACAGGTAACAGAAAATGTATTCATCTCGAGGTAAAATAGAGAGAGAGAGAGAGAAAGAGAGAAAGAAAGAAAGAAAAAAAAATATATATATATATATTTAAAATGTCGACTGTAGGCTATCATGGTCAACGATGACCGCGACACTAGTAAATTTGAAAAATTAATTCCCATATAAATCATATGTCACAGAATAAAAAATCTTGAATAACGCAAATAACTAGAACTAATAATAGTTATTAATAATTTTTCCTTTTTTCCTGAAAATGAAATAATGAAATTATAAATAAAAAATTATTTTATTTATAACCGTGTGCATTTATTTATCATTTGGACATGTAAATCATTATTTAGAATATAAATGATCGGTTGAGACTGGATTTTGTTGTTGATTCAAAGATTAACAAATGTAATATGTAAAAAACCAACAATTTAATTTTGCGGTAAAGTCTAAAAATGGAACTGACAATCACCGTTTGGAAGATTGGTGTTTTGCACAATTTTTTTGGGATACAAATATCGACGGTTTTAATTAACCAACGAGTTGTGTTAAAAGAAATAAATTAAATAAACACGAAGTTTATTATAGTAATTATCAATTTTAATGTTGTATATCTAATTTAAATGTAATTGTACTACGTGTGACGCTTGACCTTATTTATCCTCTTTAGAATATTATTTGCTCAAAATTCAAACTTCCTTCTTGTTATAATATGTACCTTATTATAATATTATTATTATATTTATATTGTGTTTACTATTATTATAAAATATATTATTACTGTAAATATTGATATTTTGTATTTGTTAGTGAGGTTTTTTCCGATAAGTAGTAAGGTTTTTTCCGAAAAGTAGTGAGGTTTCACCCTTCTATCGCTCCTACCTACAAGCATTTTGAGTATCGAAAGAATACGTGTCCACGCTTTTTGGTATGCAGTCGCACACAAACACACACATATAGAACCAGTAGTGATAACTACGAAGCATAGCATTAAGAGTAGACCGAGAATAGGAAATACTGTATAGCTATATTCCGTCTCATTCTCTCGCTTGCTCAGTCCTATATGTTTGTCTCTTTTTCTCTCATTATTTAGTATAGCAGCCGTTTCATAGCTCCGTTTCATAGCCCCGTTTCCTGACCGACCGCATTTATTTACTTTTCAGATCACTCCTATTCTAAAGAGGTTTTCACTTCAAAAAGAAAAGAAGGGGTAGGGGGAAAAAAGAAAAAGGCGTTAATTGATCTCGTTATTGAAAAAGGAGGGATTTTGGGAGGACAGGGATTGTCGAAAGGAGCGCTCTCGCGGTGAGTTTTCTCGATATTAGGGTTGGTGTTGTCTGAAGAGTCGAGAGAGGGTGTGCAGGTTGGTTGGCGCTTGCGCTTATGTCGATTGTGACGGCGTCGGCGTCGTCGTCGGCGTCGGCGTCGACGTCGGCGTCGTCGCGCGCCGGGGGCGTCGCACCATCCTCGTCGGCCACCGGACCGACCGTCCCGTCTCGACCGACCGAGACGAGAGGAGTCTCG